CTTCATCCTGCAGTGGACAGAATGAGGCTGTGATCATGATGAGGTCTATTACAAAAGCCATCAAAAGACAGGAATGGTTTCGTGATTTCACTTTTAATTGCTACAGAGAATGACATTTACAAAGCTAATCAATTTAGAAAACTCAATACTCATTTTAAGAAAAACCAGCCCAACCCAGTAGTTACCTATTAATAAGCCTAGCAATGAATGACTCTTCAAAAATAAGGAATCTGAAAGGATGATGGGGAAAATACATATTTAACTAATGCATCCTCCCCACAACATGCAACCAAAAGAAGACCCTCAAGAGCTATTTGAATGGCCTTCCTAATGCACTTGGGAGATGTGATGAAAATGGATCAATAATTAAGGGCCAACATTTAGGGTAAAATTTGATTTTTTTTCCTACCTACCACTAAAAACTAAGAAAGCAAGGATATAAATATTTACTGAAACTAGAGAGAAAAATGGTCTCTCTCTAGATCAGTAGTTCTCAAAGTGTGGTATGGGGACCCCCCTGAGAATCCCCAAGACTCTCTCAGGGACCCATGAGGCCAAAACTAGTTTCGTAGTAGTAACACTAGGATTTTAATTTCTAATATGGTAAATATATAACCCCCATAAACAAAAATTCTTTAGGGGAGGAGAAAATCCTCAGTAAAAAGGCCACAAATTTTGAGAACCACTGCTCTAGATAAAGACTGACAAAAGTCAGTCTTTTTCCATATTTGTTAGATGAGCATTTCTCTTCTCTAGTTTTCTACCTATTGAAAAAGGATAATGCCTACCTACGAATTACTCTTTGGAAATATTTTCCAGATGAAAGTGCATAACGATAACCGCAATTTCTGCATCTTGGTTGCCAATGGAACACATGCTTATGACATAATGCATAGTAATCATTCTCTTAAGCAACGAACATTATCCTTACACGAGTGAGAGCCAAAATACCATCTCTACAAGCAGCAAATAGCACTGCAATTGATTGTTCCTTCCTTGAGAAAGCAAAAACAAGGAGAATGATCAGTTCCTAAGTAGGGCTAACTCTTCTTTGAGATATAACTCTTCAATCTTATAAGAGAAATGTTTCAAGTTATTATGTTTTTTAAAACCAATGTTTTCTAAGGACAATCCATCAAACCAAAGGATTGAATCAGCTTGCATGATTTCCTAATTTTTTAGCAAGTTCCTAAATTTTCATGTTGGGCTATTTTGGGGTCGGGGTGGGGATTTTGTATGCCACACTTCAAACAAAGATTCAGCCCTCTCCAAATCAAAATTAAGTTATTTTGAAAATCGAATGGTACCTAACACTACCACCCTCATACATTTCTGGATCTACAAGGTGTGATGTATTCATCAACCTTTAGCTTCAATCAGCTTCAACCTCTGCAACTTCATTATTAAAATGACCACAGACACAGTTCTATTCTTATTCCAACTGTCCAGACGCCTGCTCTGTAACACTTCAGGACTTCAGAGAAAAAAAGGATGACTGAGAAGGTTATGAAACTCTCACAAAGATCCCAGAATAGTCAAAAGTAGTAAGACATTCAGCTAAGAGCAAAAGAATGGCTCAGGCCACTGAAGGGAGAAATATCTATAGAGGGAAAAAGAAAGATTGAATGTGAGCTGGAGAGTGTAGGAAGACAGGATAGAACCAGAGGAACAATATATGGTTTGCTTCGACAGGCAAGGGTTTCCAGAAATTTTGAAAATCCACACATGATAATTACAATACATGTTGCTTTAAAGTCAAATATATGTCATTTCATTGTAGTTGACTAGTATTAATCACATATAGTCAGTGCTCTGGAAAAGGAATTCATTCTGCTCAAATATCAAATCTATCATTTTATCAAAGTTAAAAGGCTATTAGCAATGGTCTCATAAACTTGTTCTCCAAGACAAGTAAATGAGCTAGCAAATAAATACCTACAAACCATCATAAATTCATAAGGACATTATTTTTTTTTAAATGAGTATCATCTTGTACTTTTCTGCCTATTTTACAAGGTATGGGTTTTTTGGGGGTCTTTTTGGTTTGATTTTGTTATTTTCATATATGCATCAGAAACTCAGTAAATAGACATTAAGAAGCAAACATTTCCAAATTCCCCAAGATAACCTAGAAATGACTTAAAGGATGGAAATGTCACTACAAATGAAATTTACTATTATTTATAGTGGTAGCAAAAAAGCTATTTGAATGATGAATCTTCAGCCACTTCTCAGCTATAACTTTTTAATCACTCTGGGGGCAAAATCATATTTTTAAAGATTAAATTAACAGATTAATCATGTTACTTTTGCCATTCCCAAAGTGGCTAAAAACAATGACTACACTAGAATAGCGATGAGCTTATTAATCTCTTATGTGCTGGTCATGCTGAGTCAAATTCTGTTATCTTTAACAAAAATAATATAGTGTTTGAATGCTGATACAATGACATCCCTGGTATTTCCACATTATGACAGAAATAGAGCAATATTTTGAATCTTATTTTAATAGTATTCTGATGGGTTAAAACATTAAGGCAGCTTCCTAAGTTCTGTAACTTGCAATCAATAGCCTAGGCACTGGGAAAACTGGCTGAAAAAATCATATACATCCTTTATATGACTGTAGTACACACTCCTGAAAAGAGAAAACAAATTTTTTTTGGGGGGGGTGGAGAAGAGTTGGGATTATTTATAGGCCAATGAGATCTGTTTATCTTATTACAAACACAAATATGACCTAATCCACCACTGACATACCTCAAAAGTCAACCACTGGGCCCCTGTGTTAGATGCCAATCCTTAGAAACTCTGGGATTATTAAATTATCTGACTTCCAAATAGGCTTCCAAAAGTGGCAACATCCCCTTAAACAATAGCAAATTGGGTTCTTGTTTTTTAACACAAGGTCCCCTTAATAAAGCCTATTTCAAAATGTTATACAATTTTTAAAAGCTTCTCAGTCCCTTTCTATTGGAATTTTAATCACCATGGAATACTTTACCTTCTGCTCATATTTAAATACCAAAATATCAGTTAAGCCACATCCATTTTGCCTTGCTAGCCTAAAAATTTCGCTGTTATCAGAAATTAAAAATCAACCAATTCAAAATTTTCTTCTATTACACAGTTACTAAAATACATATGACATCATAAAAAAGTACAATTGTTAACCTATATACTCAAGAGCCAATTTTAAAAGTCAAGTGCATTATAGTATATATGCAGATGAAATTAATGTAATAGAAGCTGGATAAAATTAAATTCCCTATGTCTCTACTGCACCACAGTCTATAACTTAGAAAACATGGCATACTCCAGTCACCACAATTGTGAATATGTCATGGGTTATTCATAAAGTCAGGAGCCAAAAATGCACACAAACTTTTATTATATTTTTCCCTTAACATTTTCTTTTAGCTCAAGTCATTTTCAAAAACAAAATCTGAAAGTTGCTAAATTACTCTGGATATAAAAAAGTATATTTCAATAATCCCAAGCCTATATATTTGGTTGTGAGAATCACAAATATCTTACCATATTGTCCAAGCTTACTAAATGGCTGAAAATTTGGGCTGGGCTTTATCTTACTCAATTTTCTCTCACCAATGAGGAACAAGGAAAAGTTATCACTCAGGCATTCATTTAATACCACTACCCTGAATGTTCTCATTTCATTTGATCTTGGTTCATGTCAAGTTTAACCTGTTTCTCATCAACAGGGATGTCATACATTTGCCTTTGAAACAAAGTTCAAGATTAGACAAACTCAGAATATGCTTTTTGTTAAGTTCATTAATTATATTAAATTCATAAACTTTTAGCAGTTCTGTTTGCAGGGTCATTAAGTGAAATAAATCATAACTTTTACAAAGTAATGTTGGCAAAATAGCAAAAATCTGACCTCTAACAAAGAACACATTTCTTCAGATAATCAACTTTCTTCACTGTTAGCTGTATTCATACCACGTAAGGTAGCTGATTACAATAAAGTGATAATGAGATCAAGGGTGGGGATTTGTTCCTTGAATAAGTCAGGTCACTGACTGGACCCTTAACCTCAGCTAACTAACACTGATACCACTAGCTAACCGATACCACAGACAACGAGCTGAAAGAAAAACTACTGAGAAGCCCAAGACAATGGGCCACTTTTCACATGAAGGAGGGGGAGTCAGGAAGACTTGGATTCACATCCTGCCTCTAATATATGTTAGCTGAATGACCATGGGCAAGTCCAAGTGCTCTAAGCAAATGAAAATATAGAAGGCAGTCTAACCTACATTGCTGGTAAGGATTTCTCCACACCAATCCAAATCAAGGAAATCACCCAACAAAACAAAATAACAATAAGAAATATTACTTCATTATTAGTAAGGTAAAAATATGCATCCTTGTAAAAACTGTTAGCAGGTTCACAGATCTTTTTTTTTTTTTTGGCAACCTATGAGAGCATACTTTGTTTCCTGTAGCTTTACTCAACTTTATACATTCTAACATTTCATTTTTCATATACGCTGTAAATTTTATAGCTAGCACTAACAGACCATGGCTAAAGCATTTTATTTTTAGCCCAAAGAGAATGCCATAGCTATTTTATCTCTGTTGCTAATTTGTCAAATAGCATTAAGCCAGTTATATAACTTTGGGGTAGAAGAAGGGGTCTCTTCCATTTTTAAAGTGTTTCAAGGTGACTTTTTAAATACAAAATACTGCAGCAAGGCAGAGATGTCTTGAATAAAAGGCTCAGAATTAGAAACCAGGAAATCCATTTTCTTGTTATATTTGTGCTGTGCACTTATTGGGCAGCTTCTGCCGACCATGTTTTTGCATGCAAAAGGAAGCTTATGAGACTTAACCTACCCTCCCTAGAATATAAGGACAATATAAAAATCTGCAAAATTTGCAAATGCTTTTGAATTTCACTTTTTTTGTTTTTTTAAGTTGCTTTATTATTTCTTATGAAAAAGTTAAAGCTATGATTTTGGAAGTGGCCATACCTAGTGGAACTGGATCTGGATTGACAGGACTCTGCTGCCTGGAGTGGCTGCTGCTGCTGCTGCTGCCACCACCACCTTTCTTTAAGTCTTCTGCATCACTGTATCGACGGATCCAGTAATTGAGCTCCTCCCTGTCTGCTTCCTGACATCGCCGTAGCACAGTGAGAGATCGCCTTGTTTTTTCTACCATGTCCATAATACAGTTTAAGAGCTATTAGGGAGAAAACACAAGTAAATATATAGATAAGAAGGTAAAGTATATAACATGATCATGAAGTACTTTATTTATTTATTTTATTTGGCATTCTGGCTTGTAATTCAGAGTCAACTTAAGAATCATGGCATGTTGACTTTGAGGACAAGTAGACAAGTGAGACAATGAAGAAAAACTTCACTTGAGGTTTTCCCCCAGCTGATGCCTCTATAAAGTCTGAAAGACAATTAAATATATAGAGTAACAGTTCATTTAACTTAGTGGTTCTTAACCTGGGATCCATGAACTTAAGTTTAAAAAAAAAATTTTGTTAGCTGTTTAAATATTATCTTGTTTTCTATGTAATCCTATGAATTTTATTTTATGCATTTAAAAACATATTCTGAGAAAGCACTCTGAGGCTTCACCAAACTGACAAAGGCATTCATGGAACACAAAAAAGGGAAGAATCCCTGATTTAATTGGTTTTGAAGACTTAAGCTTATGTGCAGAGTTGTACTATAGTTTTCCCTTTCCAGAATCCAAACGCATCCAGTTCTGAATTCTACTTAGAACATGCCCTCACGTTGTGTTATTGTCTTAGGAACAGAAGGAGTAAAGTACTAAAACTAGTATTTTTTTTTATTAGATTTAACCTTAAACAGGAAATTTTTGACATAAGCATATGTTAATATCTTACATGGTCAAGGTGTTTCCATTCTTCTGCCCATTCTCTGTCTGTTAGTCTGTGATCAATCATTTCTTCTTGACGTGTGCCATGCAACCCTACAAAAGGAGACAAGAGTATCTATTTACTCCCAAAGCACTCATTACATTCTCCATATGGATGCAGATATATGTTATAGCATATGTACATAAGCCAGTTCATTTGCAAACAGATGTGCTTATCAGCGAATGGGTCAACCCATTAGCCCTGCTTGAAAACAGAAACACATTAAAAGCCATTCACAGAATCGATAGAGTATTGGAGATGTAGAAAACTTTAAAGGTCATCCAGTTCAATCTTCTCACTTTAAAGATAAGGAAACTGAGTCACAAAGAAGTTATATAACCCAGTCATGACTTGTTAGTTTTTCCACCTAAATTTAAATTTCCTTTATTTCCTTTGCTGTTAGAGGTGGTTTTGGTATTTAGCCTATATTGCTATTTAGTGGTAGAGCTGGGACTAGAGAATTCAGGTTTCCTAACTGCAAGGTCAATACTCTTTCCTTACACAGCAATATCTCAAGACTAAACAGAAGATCAAGGCATTCTGAAATTAGCCAACCAATGAAGAAAACATAAAGTTATATCAACTTGAGATAAGAATGGCGAACAAAACCATGATATAAGAAAAAATATTTGTGACAAACAAAGGCTTTGAGAATTTGACTGATAATTTTTAAAAGTCACGGAGAGAACAAAAGTCATTCCCACTCTGGTGTGTTTTTCTTATCTGACACCAGGACATCAGTTCTAATAGATTAAAATATCCCAAACAGGTAGCTTCCATTTCCACTTGAATGTAAATTTGTACCAACAGAGTAAGTTTTGGCACACAAACACAAACATGAGTTTATACTTCTGTAAGAACATATTTCTACATGACGCTGATATCATTATGAAGAGGACATGACATGATATCTAGGCTAATATGAAAAACTACATTGCACATATCGAAAGCTCAATCATCATTACTGAAAATGTCTTCTTAGATTTGAGCCAAGAAATACAACAGCACAATATACTTTGTAAACTACGGAATAACAGACCTGACTATGCATACAACCTATAGGTTTAAAATACTTAAAAGTTAAATCCCACTTTTGGATTTGCCACTTTTTGAGTAGTGTTTTTCTGAGTAAGAAACTATATTTTAGGATCAAAATTAAAGGGGTCAAAGATCTTAGACATCACACAGATCAACCTTCTAATTTCATGTGAAACAATTCAGGTCGGGTCAGTCAGTCAATGAATATTTTTGAAAGATCTACTATGTGCTAGGCACTGTGCTAAATGCTGGGGGACAGCCCTGCCTCAACAAGCTTACTACAAATCTAATGTGGGAAGATAACATACAAAAAGAAGCTGAAAATGTGGGCAGGGGTAGGAAAAGTACTAACCGGGGAGTATGATGGGAACCCAGTACAAAGGTGTATAGCTGAGCTGGCCAGCCTGGATTTTCTTTAAATGGAGATTTCGCTCAGCCTTCCAATCCTCCGATCAGAGAGACAGAAGGTACTGATGAGGTATGAGTAGGAAGGGTGATGCAGTATCAACGGATGGAGAGTTTCTTAATCCACAGTGTAGTGACTTGTCCAATATTACAAAGGTAACAGGTGGTAGAGTCATGTAATTTGTTATTTAAATCCTCTAACTTCAAAACCAGAGTTCTTTCCCCTACATACTGGCAGTGGTTATAGTCTCCATAACTGCCCTGGAGACACAATTTTTAGGCTTAAGGCACATTTCCAAGAACAAAGGCTGCCTGTCTCTGAATCTAAAAGTTGGACCACAACTTACTTTCCATTCCGCTAAAATCAAAGTACATGCAACCCAATATACATTTTTGGCCAACCAGGGTCATGAAAATTTGTAAGTCACAAACATGATTACATGAAACAATTATCTTTTTATTCTCTTTCATAAAAGAGTAATATAAACAATCCTTTATGAGGTTCCCGTTAAATTAGTAAAAATCTTCAATACTTTAAATTTTTAAAAAAAGTGTTGCCTACTGAGAAAAAAGTAACCTGGTAAAATATTTCTTGCTAATTTGCATGATACTAGCACATGTATAACGGAAAAAGAAGTATTTAGCTATTACTGTGTTTGTTTTGATTATTTCAAGTTGAAATGTTTGCAAATATGCAATTTTTGTTGACTTATTTGTTGGCTGTGTTTTTTTGGGGAAAAAGCATTACTGTTAAAATTAGTCATCACAGAAAGAACTGCAAAATGATGGAGATGTAAATGTGACAGAAGCAACTTGCATGAGGGAGAAATTTTAAGATATCTTTTAAAGGACACATACTTGCAGAGCTTTTTAAAATTTCAAAAATTCAACAGATGAGATCAATAACTACTAAGAGTTCTTGACATTTGGAGGGACACGAGTGAACAAGCAGTAAGAAGTTGTTTGTAACTTCAATGAATTGATCTGAACTCCTGGTAATAAGCATTTGAGAAATGTTTCTGTGCCCAAAAACTTGCCTCGTCAAACCAAGGAAGAACCAACAGGTCTAACTTGGCTCCTTTTATGTATGGTAACCATCTGTCACAAGAAAATAAAAATGCATACTCTGGGAGGAAAACTGCAATGCTTTAAAAGTTTATATTTATTCACATGGTAGAAGTGAGTACAAAACTCAAGAACACATTGCCACTCTTATTGATCTGTAAATGACTATTAAAATGGAAAGAACCAGAGGAAAATCAATCTTAAAGAGTCACTGAATAGCAAATTTTAGTTCAATGTAGCTTAGATGTTTGGTAGAAAATAATGTCTTAAAATTATGTGCACCTAAATTGGTTAATAAACTTAAAAGAACTGTGAGTTTCTTTCATAAACTAGGATTACTTTATTACAGAGCTCAATTACGATGAAAACACTTCCTTGTTTAAAAAAAAACATGGCAGAAGTTCATACTCAAAACTAGGAGTACTAATAAGTCAATTTCTGTACACTCAAAATGGCAGCCTGAGTAACTGGCTCCATCCTTTAAGGGTCAACTTTACACTGAATGATTTCAAGGACTTTTTAAAAGGAGCACTCAGGTCCACAGATTAAGACTGTTTTTGTTTTTTTTTAATGATCTATTATAATTAAAAGTGTTCAGAATACAATTTAAAGAAAAATAGCTCCTAAAGGGATCATTCGTGCCTAGGTAACTATTTCTTGCATATAAGCAATTAGTTTCTTGCAGCTTCAAATGTCATTTGCATTAGAAATGGCAGCATTTAATTATGAAATAGTGTTTGCTACCTCAGACATCATCCAAACCTACCATTTGAATGGCTCTCCATTCTCAAGGCTGTAAGGGAAAATGAGCATTTTTAAAGGAAACAATTAAGTCTTCAGCCAGTGGAGGAAAGAGATTTGAAGTGGCATGGGTCAAATGCGAGACATGACCTATGATGGAGTAGAAGAATGTTAGAGTAAAAAAGGAAGGAAAGGGGATATATACACACACACACACACACACACACACACGCACGCGCACGCGCGTGTGCGTGTGTGTGTGTGTGTGTGTGTGTGTGTGTGTGTATAAATAATCCCTTCTTAGGGATCATATCTAGGACATAAAAGAAAACCTTCTAAGACTTGTTACAAAAGATAACAACTACTCACTTCTGGTGATTCATATGGCCACAAATAACATGACTAGAAGGAATCTAAAAGTGGAATGTCAACCATTATGAACTCTTGGGTAAGAAACTAAAGACCATTTGGACGAGGGTTATGTTTTCCTCACTGTACTGAAGGCAAGGTAGACCAAAGAGAAATGTTAATTTGAGAGGTATTATCTAAGAATGAGATTTTAGTTTTTGGACCATGGCTTAAAATACAGAGATGACAGATTAATCACTGGCCCAAGATAGAGTATACCTAACAAAGGCTGTTAAGAACGTTATTTGCTAAGTCTCTTGGCAAATATGATGAATGGACTTCTTCAAAATAAGAAGGACAGGATAAGGAGAACACTACTTTTAAGTATGTAACCACAAATTTAGATACCATAGCAAGTATATACAAAAAGAATAGTAACTGAAATAATCAGAAGTTCATAAGGGACAAAATCCAAGAAAGGGGTCAGTAGTAAAATCTGTGGCTTCACACGTCTATATACAAGCGCCTAAGTTAAGGCAAGAAACATATGAAGTCAGGTAAATCTGACCTCACGATTATCATTGAGCCTTGATGGTATTAAACTCATAACTAGATCACGGCCTTGAATGGGTGGGTTTACCTTAATCAAAATGAACATGAAAGGAAGAAAAACAAAACAAACAAACAAAAAAAAAGATGAGGTGGGTAGAGCAGTGGGCTACCCACAGTATAAGAAGATATACTCATGAAGAAATCTCAGAATTACAGAAGGGAAGCATTGACAGAGAGCCTCTAGATGAAGGTCAGTGGAAGGAAAAAAAATGATTATGAAAAAGGAAACAGATGAGGAATTTGTGAAACAGATCACAACCTGGCAGGGAGGCAAAATAGAGAGCTTGTAACTTCAATTACATAGATGTACACAGGAGCTCACTCTCTGCCAAAAGCGGAGCAGCTAGTAACTTCTTGACTTGCTTTTTATACTAATCTTATCCTTCAAAATGTGAAGGAACTAAGAAAGGGACATGCTGTTTTGGATCTTGTTCTCACCAGCAAAGAAGAACGAGTTGCTGGGGTAAAAATGATGGGAACCCTGGGAGAAAGAGATCATGTCATCCAAGAATCTGTGAAGGACTGGAAAGGAAATCTAGACACAGTCTGACATGGTCCCCAGAAATGGGGAAAGCAGATTTCAAAGGACTTGGGAGAGAAATGTAGGATCCTTTACTTGCAAACACTACAGGTGAAACAGTCAACCAAAAAAGATGGAAGATGCTCAAGAATTAAATTCTGAAGACACAAAAATAACCATTCCAATAAGCAGGAAATAAAACTCACAGGATTACAAAGGAAAAAATTATATTGAAATAAAGATCTAAATCTTCTCATCTAAGTTCATGGAGCCCCTAAAAAGAACACATAGATTCTTTGTGAGTTTCTGGATCCAAGGTTAAGAACTCAGGTTCTAGGGGCAGCTAGGTAGCATGGTAGATAGAGCGCCAGCCTTGAAGTCAGGAGGACCTAAGTTTTATATCCGGCCTCAGACCAAACACTTGACATTAGCTATGTGGCCCTGGGCAAGTCACTTAACCCCAACTGCCTAAAAACAAAAACAAAAAAAAAAAAGAATTCAGGTTCTACATAAAAAGCCTTCTTTATTTCCCAACAGCTAGTGCTCTCCCTTTTAAACTACTTTGCATTTATTTTCTTCATATTTATTCTGATCTCTCTCCCTCATATATATATATATATTTGTAGTCCCTAAGAGGATACAATCCTCACAAGTAGAAGCCATTGCATTCTCTGTAGTTGTATACTCAGTATTTGGCACACAGTACTTTGTAATGTGGGTTGCTATTAAACACAAGTTGGTAGGAGGATTGAACGAAGTATGTGGGCATAATAAGCCTAAAGAAGAGAAAACCGTCTCAGGTCAGGGAAGGGGCAGGAAGGAATTTTCACAGATTTAAAGAGTCTATGTGAAGAAGGCATTATAACTGTTCTGCCCGACTCCAGAGGGTCAAGCCAGGAGCAATCGGTAGAAGTAGCCCACAGTAAACTTCGACCTCGTTCCAAGAACAACTTCCTAACAATCAGAGTTTTACCAATGCGGAATGGGTTGTGTCTTGAGAGGGGAAGAGGTTCCTCGCCTTTGAAGTCTTTAAGCAAAGGCTGAATGAACACTTTTTAGGCCTGTTCAAGTGGAGATTACGCTGGGGTATGAGTTGGATTAAATGGCAAGTGGGGAGCTTTCCAACTCTCGTATATTCTGTGAACCTGATTTTGAAGCTTAGACGAGGTGAGTAACCTCTGTTTATCTTAGAACCTGTAATAACTCTTCTCCTATTTAAGTATCTGCAACTATATCTCATGGTAACAAGCTTTCCATAAATGGCATGGTTTACTAGGAAAAGAAATCTTATGCTGATATATTCAGATTGGTTTTGGGGTCAACACATCCAGACTGAGAAATTCGTAAAGACTGTACTATGGCTACCTAGAGATGGTACCCGAAAGGAACACTGTAAGGCTTGGCTTTGGGGAAAGCAAAAAGTACAGGCTTAGATACTCTTTTAACGTATGGATTGAAGTAGATGGAAATCCTTACCAACTGTAGCCATACCCTAAACCCTTTGCCTGGCTTTGGATTGAAATCTGCATAGAAGGAAAGGATGCCTGCCCTTTGTTGCTAATTCTAGGGAGTATATTACAAGTCTACTCTCAACTGGGTTTTGCTGCTGCTACCTAGCTCTTAATCTGGTTAAAAACCTACTTCTTCCACTTTCATCCTCGGCCCATGCCTCCAATAGTAACCCTAAGCAATACTGCTAATCGCTACTAAATGCTGGGTACTGGCTAACTAAATTCTCATGCTGTGCTAGAGCCAACGTTCTAGTTTCACATTCTAACAATGGCTCCATTTCCTGCTACTTCATGAGCCTCTCTACTAAATTCCCATTATTCATCTCCTGCCTCCAGAAAAAAACATAATAACGACTCGCCCTGGGAGAGTAAGTCACCTTCAGTACGTGAAATGGAAGGAAAAGAGTGAGGGGAAGAACAGAAAGATCTGCAACTGGTTTACAGCAAACTTCACTCTCACTGAATTGAAGGAAAGTGACATTGCCCTAAAGAAATGAACACTACTGTCCCCTGATTTCACTATTATAGTCATTGACTATCCACTAAACCCCTACTCTGATGGCTTACTATAGAAAAGAGATGACTAGATTCTCAAAGGTGATTCAATTCCAGGAAAATACAAGTTTTTTATCCTATTCTAGCCAAGTTAAAAGGGCTTTAAGTATAACCTTGACAACAGACAGTGTCAGTCACTAATTAGACAATTTTGAAAGGCATTTCTCTACAAGTCTGGCTGCCATGTAAATTAGTAATGTGGTAAAATTATTTACTACAGCAGTTCATAAAAGCACCTGCAAAGCCATAGACAATTTTTTTCTTTTTACCCAGCAAATGATGAAGTACCCATATCACTCAAACCATGAATTTTGCTCATTAAAAATGTAAGTTGACAAATTTTGTTTTGGTAAAAAACACTTCTGAACACATACCCCAAAAGTCTTCCTCCCCCAAAGTACATTCCCAGAAAATAGCTTCACCATTTGTTAAGAGAAAGAAGGTATATGTCCCTTAACTTTGAAAGCAAGATACTGACCCTGACCCTGACCTTTTTATCTGAACAGAGTTTTGTTGACTATCCAAAAATCATGGTTCTTTTAAGTACTCATTTCACATTAAAACTTACCTTAATAATCTTCCCTTAAACTCTACAGCAGACAATTATTCTGCTGGAAGACATGTTAGTGACCATCAAGAATGATGGTTACTAAGACTTCTGATTTTCAGCAGCATAAAGAGGAATGAAGGAAGGCAAAAGGAATATGCATAAATATACACAAACGTCTCCCACCAAATATCCTTATTTCTGAGTCAGAACTACCAAAGACCACAGGCATTTCTAAATACAGAAAGGCACTAGATCTCTGGTTAGGCAAAATTTTGCAGCTAGGTGGTACAATAGAGTGCTGGCCCAGGAATAAGGAAGGCACAAATTCAAATCCTGGTTTGGACCTTACTAGCTGCATGACCCTGGGCATGTCACCTATCTCTCTAAATCTGTCTTCATATCTCAAAAACTGGATAATATAGAACTTATACAATAGGATTACTGTTAAGAATCAAATGAGGTAAAATATGCAAAAACCACTTCGCAAAACTTAAAGTACTATTACATAAAAGGTATTGTTGGTGTTATTATCATCTATCCACTCAAACTCTGGATCACATGCTATTCTCTGCTTTAGGAATATGAAACTTTATGGCACTAAAGGAAGGTAAGAGTTTAAGAAAGATACAAGCATGGTGGTTTCTAAAGGGCGTCTGAATAGCACAAGAAGTCTCTATGGGGAGACAACGAAAAAGGAGAAAAAAAAATTTCAATTCATTAAGTAATCAAAACAAGAGTGGAAAACAGTTTTTTGTTCGCTTGTTTTTTGAATAAAAGCCTGTAAACGTCAGGACATCCATTCTTACCCATAGGTCTGCTCCTGTCCCTGAGGTCCCTGTGGTTGGGGTGTCGGTAGGAGTCCCTGTAGTGGTGGGCAATGGCCATATCATCCAAACGATAATGCTGAGGTGGCGGTGGGGTGGGGTGAGGCAGGCCGTTGGGCTGGTAAGATAAGCCATTATTTGGACTGTACCGCTGGCCTGGGCTAATAGTGCATGGCCGCTTGCTTGGATGCTCTGAGTGCAAAGGCTCTCTGTCAAAGCCATTTTCTTTGGTTCTGAAGACAAAAAAACAAAAAGAAGGTTTGTTTCATAATTTACTCAGCAACCAGTATTGTTCAGACACTCACACCTACTGGAATCCTCCTAGATATATTCTGTTGGAGGCCATTTTGCTGTTTGGAATCTTTCTAAGTTCAGAATTTTAAAAGAAGAATAGGTCATCAGTGAAATCTAGGGGGAGGCCAAAATGATCAGGGAACCAAAGACATCACAGGCCACTTCACTTCTCATGAAAGCTAACTTTCACCACTTCCATTTATTTGGTTGGAAAACAAAAGATTGACAATCCACACTGCCCTCTGAAGGACGACACTTTCTATTAAAAGGTAAGTTTCCAGTGCTTGAGTGCTGGATAGATTTGATCTTTGACAAATTATCATTGAAAAACAACAGACAATAACTTATCAACACCTATACTGTTTTTGGTTTGGTTTTTTTTTTTCAATCCAAACCTGGGCCAGACTTTCATGAAAAGCATAAATTCATATACAGGACAAATTAAGTATACAAAGAAGAGAAGAAGAAGTGTTTGTATACCTCATACCACAACAATGGCAAGAAGAAATATAGACTTTTAGAGATGGAATGAACCTTAAAGGTCATCTATACAACCCACCATCCCCACCTACCTTCCTTTCTCAAGGAAGAAACTGTGATTTAGATAAAATGACCTATCTGCCCAAAATCACACTATTAGTATCAAAGCTGAGACAACCTAGGTGAAACCATAGCTCAGTTCACTACATACTACAGTTCTATTATACTGCATTGCATCCATTCATGTCTTTTTTGATATCTCCTTTAAAATGGAAAGTACTATATAAATCTAAAATAATTTTAATATTTAATCACTATTCCTTGGTTACCAACCAAAATCGGCAATGGGTCAGTTAACATGCTCTTGCTAAGTGCCTCCTATGTGCCAGGCACTATGCTAAGCAGAAAGGTAAAAAGCAGTCTATAATCTCAAGTAGCTCACAATCTGATAGAGACAACATTAAAAAAAAAAAAAGACTATCTACAGGATAAACCTGAGATAATCAACAGTGGGAAGGCAGTAGCATTAAAGAGGATCAGAAAAGGCTTCTTGTAGAAGATGAGATTTTACCTGAAACTTGAAAGAAGCCAGGCAAGTTAAGAGGCAGAGACGAGGAGGGAAAGAATAGTGTGGACTGAGGACAGCCAGTCAAAGTGTTTGGTATAGGGAAATGGAGCGTGTTGTTTTGCTTCATGAATAAGAAGGCCAGTGTCACCAGACTGCAGAGTGGAAGTATAAGAAGACTAGAGAGGTAGTGGAGGATGTCTTCTGGTGATCTCTAGCTAACAAGCTGATGGATTCACCCAAAAGATAACAGATTTGATTGCTTAGCTGGTCATATCATAGCCTAGTTAGACAAGCTGAAGAATCTATTTCCGAGAAGTAATATCCCACATTCAGGACAGATAGAATTCTGAACAGACTAGCACACTAGTACAAAATGTACTATGCTCTTTTTGTGTGTTTGTTTGCTAGAAACCTAATAGCAAAAAAGTCCTTGACAGACTTTTGAAACCTCTTGGAATTAGATCAAAATGCTAAGATGAATGCAGGATGACAGGTGTCAAAAGGATCACATAATGAGCTGCTGCTTTGGAAAGCCTCTGAGAAGGATCCTAGGTCATCACCATCAACTTTCCCTTTCCCTCTTCAACCTCATTCTCCTCCAAACACTGGTCTCTTCTTGGGCTTGATGACTCCAATGAAAGCACAGCTGAAGAAGGCCTATACTTGAATAAGCCATCTTGAAGGGCCAGTTATAGTGTATTCAAACGTCATCGAGAACAGCACAGAGCTGGAACCAGCAGATACGGGTGCCAATCCAAAACTGTTACTCTGTGATTTCAGTAAATTTACTTAAATTCTTTGGGCCTCAATTTCTTCATTTGTATAAAAGGATCAGGTTGACCTGGATGAATACACTAACAACATCTTTCTAGCCCTAAACCCCATAACTACAAATAGCCTGAATTCCATTCTAGCAACCCTGAAATAGAAGAACCAGAGGAAAACTTCCAATGTTATCAGGAAGATGCTGTATGGAAAGCTGACAGAAGGACAGAAACATGAATCACAGAAGGTGAGAAGGCATACAGACAGGCTACAACTGGCACCAGTGGAGGAAGAATCCATTGCTGACATCAGGGACTCAATAAAATACTGAGAATGCTCCTAAAGAACCAAAAAGTAAAGGAATAAAGAGACCTCTGAATAGCCAAAATAGGAACAGAAATGAGACCCGTTATTGCATTTGTATAATCAGTTTCTGGATGAGAACATGCTACCTACCAGTATAGGTCGGCATCTTTTAGTTGCCTAGAGCACAGAAAGACTATGACTTTACTCAGGGTCCAAAACCCAGTATGGGTCAGAGGTGGGGCTTGAAGCTAGTTCTTCCTAGCTTCATGGCCTACTCTCTATAAATCCGACCATACTTCTTATGCCTCATGGCCAAAGCAGCAATCTCAACTCCAGTCTTATTTCAAACTGCCATCTAGATCTTTTCCACTTGGATATCCTATCAACATTTCAACACAACATCTAAAACTAAATGACCATATTTCCCAATATGCAGTTTCATAACGAAGAGTCATTCTCCTTTCCATTTCCCTACCTCCCCCTCCATGTTGATACATAACCAATGGCCGAGTCTTACGCAGCGCAAAGAACAATAAAAATACTTGGATTCTGGGAGAGCTTGGTTCCAATCCTGTCCTAGACACTTTCTAATTGTATGACCCAGGGCAAGTCACAACCACTCTATACCTCAGATTGCTTATTTACTGCTGAAGGTTTATGGTCAGAATATTTGCATTTTCCAATAGACTTTTAAGATTGTCTTTTTCCAATGGACTTTCTAGGCATTCTCTCATTTTGTCCCAGCAACCTCATTTTTTCATCTTAGTCACTATCCTCAGAAATACCACTGATCTCAACAAAGATTTGGGATCAATGTTCTTCAAAGCTACATGTCTTTGACTGATTTATTGGCACTTCTTGGTTTTTTTAATATGTTGCATAAAACTTTATTTCTGAAACAGATACACCTTTCTTCTTGTTACCTTTCATATTGGCACAAACCACTTATTGGGGGAAAAATGATTTTTTTCTTTCTTTTTTGTTGTATTTAATGAAAGACACCTTCAGATTTAGATGTTTTCCCCCATTTCTCATAGATTCCCAGAGTTGGAAGAAATCCCAGAGGCTATTTACAGATATAACTCACACCTGAACAGGAATCCTTTCTACAACATATCCAACAAATGGTCATCTAACTCACGTATGAAGGCCACCTTTGATATAGTCTACTCTCTGCAATTATGTTGGTACTAACTCTGAATTGTTCTTTTCCAATTCTTCAAAGACCGAAGTAACCAAGTCAATGAATTAGAACACAAAATAATCCTTTCTCTTTTCCTAAAAGAGTATCATAGATATGTTTAAAAAGGCACTGATGAAACTCGGGATAAATGAGATGTTCCCTAAATGAATTTAGCTCACTTGAACAATATAAGTTATAATCCAGAGTCATGTGAGAATCTGGTGACGTGACTGTTGATTGCTGGCAAGGTTACATGATACAGTACCTACAAAGTGCTCTATAAACCTTAAGAAACCAGATAAACACAGGGATAGGAGGAATATTTTTATTATTAAGAGGGGCTAAAGTCCTGGAGCCAACAAAAATGTGTGCCAATTTCCAAAAAAAAGGGAATAAGGATGATTCTGAAACTCAGAAGGCTTGATAATACTCCCTGACCAGGTGGATTATTAAGATGGATGAATCATTAGACAGAGAAGCAGGCATAATTCCTAGCAGTGTGGCAGAGGGCAAAGAATACCAGAGTCAAAACTAGAATTCAAGCTATGGAACATTTGAGGCTTATTGGTTGTTTGATCTTATTAAGCAAGTCAGCTGATATCTCTGTGCCTCACTTCCCTCATCTCTAAAACAAGAACAATGAAACTTGCCATACCTAACTTCATTTCCTTTTCAAACTGTATTACTAGACATGTAGCTTAGAGAAATGCCACAGAGAAAACAGAAAAGAATCTCAGCAAAACTTTTAATAGTCTTTCAAATTACATGCATGGAGGAAATGTGAGTAGGATAACAACATGGTGTAGTTCTTAACCCGTAACAGTATACGTTTACAACTGGCTGAATGACCACGCACCAGAAGTACTGAACAACAGATAGATGTCTACCTCATGGGAGGTGGCACATTATAGAGATATGTGCAGAATGGTGTTATATTGAAAGTTGTTTTTTGTTTTGTTTTGTTTCAAATAACTTAGAGGAAGTTCAAAATGTTACACTTAATCAAATTTGCAGGTGGCAAGAATTCTGTTAGCTAAAACAATGACAGAATTAATATTCAACAAGCTCTCGATCAACTATCAGTGAAATCTAATATGAAATTTAATGGCAATACAGCTAAACTCCTGCAAATAATTTTTTTAAACTATATACATCGCAAAACTACTGAAAACATGCATGTCTGTGAATATATAGGACTATGTCTGTCTATACAAATATGGAGAGCGAAACAGAAAAGTTCCTTGATATCAGAAATTATTATTTTTTCCCCTTTATATCACTACTGCCTGGCACAGTTGATGCTTAATAAATACTTGTTTATATCTGTGTGTGTATGCATGCACATATGCAGTACTGTGGGGGGAAGGAGCTCCAAAGCAATTATTAATCAGTGGAAAGAATTTATACTCATGGAACCTCACTCTACTGATACAGAGAGACACTTTTTGCTGTCACTTATTGGCTTAGCATTTCCTATGATACAGAGAGATCAAGTAATTTTACCAGGATCACAGTAGTACCTAGAAAAATGGCTGACTGCCTTTTTTCCTCAATAGCGTGCTGTTCTTTTATTTATATATAGATGTAAATTATATCTCTTATATTTTTACTATTAATGACCACATTATACTGCAATT